AAAACTTTTTTTTTCTTGTGAAGAAATAAGTATCTTGCAGTTAAGCTCCGCCCCCTGGGTTCACGACGAATAAAAAAAATCATCACAATTGAGATAAGGAAAATTTGTATAAAGAAATGTCGATTATGCAATTAGGCTTCGCGCCATAATTGCGAAATCCATATTTCCTTACAAAAATGTACCATTTTAATAATGTTCCAAGTTTTTTGTTGTGAAGAGATGGCTATATATGTTAAAAAAACAAAAAGGCAAAATATAAGCTCCGCCCACTCGCCCTATCTCAATTCTGATGATTTTTTTTATTCGTTGTAAGCCGAGGGGCGCAGTGTAATTGCAAAATCGATATTTCCCTATGCAAATTTACCATTTTAAATGTTTTAAGTTTCTACACATTTTAAGAAAACAAGGCAAAATATAAAAATATTTCGAATCTGAAAAAATTTAAAAGAGTCTCAGGACCCCTGGTGTTTTTTTAGATAGGTAGGTTCTCAGGTTCTCAGGTTATTTAAAAAAAAAATTGAAACATTCTCAGGAGCTGTTCTTGTGTTTTATTTTTAAAACGTTTTAAAAAATTCCGGGAACTTTTTTTTTGTTTGTGAAAAAGTTTAAAAGAGTCTCAAGGGCCCCTAAAGTTCCGATTTTGAAAAAAGTTTAAAACAATTTCAAGGCCTCTAGTGTTTTATTTTTGAAAAAAAATAGAAGGGTTCTCAGGGAACTCTCCTGTATTTTGAAAAATATTGAAAGAATTTCAGAAGCCCCTGGTGTTTTATTTTTAAAACGATTTTAAAAAATCAAGTGCCTGTGATGTTTCATTTATGAAAAGGTTTAAAAAATCTGGCGTTTTGTTTTTAAAAAATTAGAAAGAATCTCTGAGACTTGTGTCTTTTTATTTTTGAAAATGAAAGCATCTCAGGAGCTCTCTAGATTTTTTAAAATGTCCAGCAGGCCTACTACATAAAAAACAAACTTTACTTAAATTTTGCAACGAAATAATAGACTTGACGAAATTAATGCCCTTTTGTGGTTGCTATTTTCAGAATTAAAGTGTGGCTCAATGCAAACAAAGGCAAATTAAGTATCTTATTTCTGATTGGTTCCGCCATTTTGAGGCAAATATCACACACTGTCAATCATGTCAGCTCAAAGCTAATCTCATTATCAACCACAAAGACCTAAAGAGGAAATTAATGATGTAACGATGATAAGTAAGAAAGATCAAATCTGAGTGAACGTCAACGCAAATACAACGTACTAAATGTTAAGCATTTTTTTTTAATTTACTCCAAAATGGGAACAGGCAAAATTTAAAATTGTATTCAACTCAGTTATTTGAAAAGATAACGTTCTAAATTCACAATGACTAAACATCACAAAGTCTATATAACACGGTTGTCCGATTAATATCCTATCGCCTTCAGTTTTTTCATTTCAAATAGAATGGATGAAATGTTGCATTTTCCAGTAAGAAAACTCACTAGAGTGATTACTGCGTTCATATTTTGGAGCACTTGTTTTACCGTTCACCCGATTTCCCGCCCTCCGCGCCAGACCAAATCTAACCAGGTTAACAGAGATCACTTTTTCACATTTTTTAAAGGCAACTTAAATAAAGCATGTTACGCAAAACGTCAAACTCCTGCTTTTAAAAATAGCGGAACGATAAAATCGTGAATATTTTAAATAAAAATGCAAATGTATCGAGAAATATTAGTCAGAAGAAAAAAAGGCAACACATTGCACATAAAAAAAAAAACAAATTGTAACTTGTGCATCTAAATGAGTTCTGTTAGCACGTATTAACACATTATTTCAATCAGCTACAGAAAACTAGTAGTGGTTTGCTTCCGCTATCAGACCGGAATGCCTTGTATTCTTTTTAAATTCCGACGCTTTTGCATAACAATAATTATAATTTGTCTACTATTAAAGGTGACCATAAAATAAAATAAAAAAATTAAACCTGGGAATCATTTTAGAATCTACTTGATCTTTTGTTAGAGCCCCGAAAATACCTACTGAAAAATCAAGGTTAGCCTGTTGCATGAAATATTCATTCACCTAATCTTTAGTACCGGTACATTTCATTAGTACAATATTGTTTTATATTTAATTTATTCGCATTTACGTAAATCAAATGTTGTTCGTAACCAGGTACATAATTTCGCAAACCAGACGTCAAATTTTTGCGGATATTTTAATCAGATACTAATATCAACAAAACTATTTCCCCATATCACTTGTTAACTTACAACAAATGAGCACTTGTTGTCCTAATCATTTTCCTTTCGACAAAACCCGCTAATAAATGCCCTCACTGATTATTCCGCCGCCCCTGTTAAATAAAACCCCCAAAGTATTAATCATATCGGTCTCAGGCGTCCGCCAGCGTTATTTAAATAAACGATGCGAACACGCAACGGACACTTCCCCAAATGAAAACTGAAACGACAAAAAAGCTCTTTTTCCACGCGTAAGGCCGCAACCGCAAAAATATCACTCCGATTGTTTACCTCCTATTTCAGCGTTGCGCATTTTGTGGTAGATCATCCTGAGTAATTTATGGGCCGGTTCAGAGGATCACTTTAATTAATCATTATTAAAATGAGGAATTCGGAAATTATATCATTAATTCGTATGGAAATTTATTAGGCATTACCCCGGCGCTGTCATTCATCTGAAACGAAGGCATTTCGGTGTCAACGAATTAAGGCCGTTTTTATCATTTTAATTAGCCAATCTGAGTTATCGATTAGAGGGGTGGAAAGTTACAGACATGTGATAACTGGGTGTTAAGTGATTACGGCGATGTCGACGAAGTATTCGTTTTTTATTGATAACTAAATTCCGGATGCAGAAGATTTATGTAAAGCCTTGTGTAAGCCCGTTAGCGGTGCTTTGATCCAGCCATTTTATCAAACTAATGGATGTATGATAAAATTTCACTAGCAGCTTTTCGATTATGAAAAATATGGATTTTTTAAAGGGGAGTTCGACTAATAAAATCGTGGATGACGAGTCTTCAAGGTACAAATTCACATTTAATAGCGAAACTGTGTTAAGGTAGAGAATATTTTCTTAGCCTTGGGCTAGAAGTTCCTTTTAAACGTAATTAAAATTATGATTGACAATTATTGTGATAACCGCCTTAAACAATAACTAATCTCCCATTTTCTTAACACGAACATTTCTCATCAAGACTTGTAGACAGCAGTTTGGCGAGACTGAAGGCTACACAAGTTTGGAAAACACTTACCTAGTGCATAAGTGTTATGAAAACGATAATCCAATTAGGTTTATTTTCACGCGAGGTTTAGTAATTATTTCAGGTGGGGCATCACTTCCTCGTTTCTACCACATAAATCGCTAGTACAAACTACTGATGGATTACCAGCGTTTTTACATTAATAAGTAGGTAGGTTAGTGGAATAATGTACTTTTAATTTTCCACTCAAAAAACTAAAAGTTTGCACTTATTTAAATGAGATTCTGGTTCACTCTTTATTATAATCGAGAGGAATGTGGAATAATTATGTGAAATGGCCTTGGAGTTTAACAGTTAAAACGGTTTCGCTTCGTCTGGGTGAACTGAAGACTGTTAACTTTTCTCCGCCAACACTCAACGGTTATGGCTCTAGGCCGTAAATGGATTATCGGGAAACTCCTCTTCTTTCACCAAAAGTGAAGAGAAGGAAGAGCTTTTATTGCATAATTACGTGTTGTGGATAATTTGATTTTTTTATGCGTTTATTTGGGCAGAAAATGGGCCATAAAATTATTTTTATCTTTATGAAGACGTCATAAGCCGTAAACACGTATCACATCACATTAAAAAATCAAATTTTCGTCTTTTATGGGTTCGGTTTTAAAGATAAAGATTGTCCTGAAGTATTGGAAGAATTGTGTCTTCTTGTGTTTTCCTCAGTTTTTGGGTGCAACTCAATTTTTGAATTAATTTTTGAAAATAATTAATTTTTGTTTATTTATAAGTACTCTTTCAAGAATTTGACAACTTGTATTATCTCAAAATCATGAAGCAAAATTTTGAAAAATATAATAACAATAAAAAGTAAATTATTTCCGAACAAAATCACTTGCCACTATTTTTCTGATGTAACTTTTATGTTGCATTATTCACAAATTCACAAGAATTTTTTAATGAACTATAAAACAATTGCACACTGATGTTATGTAAAATTCGTTCGAAGAAGTCTGAAATAATACTAGAAAACATTCATTAAAAAAAATAATTAACGCAATAAAAATGTCTTGTTTCACTAGCGTTCACGTTTGCTGTTATCATGAAGACGTGATATGTCATATTTTTGTCATTATTCTAAATTTAAAAATTATGTAGAAAAATTGTCAATTTCACAGTAAATAATTTAAAAAAAAAAATCCCGAGTTAGAGATATTAAACAATAAATAAATAAATAAAATTACGATCTCTCCAATTTTTTTGGCCACCCCGGATCGGAAAATCCCGGCCCGCCCGGAAAAAATGACGTAACCCCTGGTTCCGGCAGCGATAATCGCTCCCAGGATGTGCAATTATATTGCGAAAGTCTCGTGTCGGAGCGATTACCATCTTGACCGAGCGTCGACATCTCCGGTGTTCTTCCGGAGAGCCTACCGTATCACTTTCTACCCGTCCGTTCACCTTGTACCATTGTCACTGAATCACTCGAAATGCAAGGGAGCAGTCGGGGGTGATGTCACGAGTGCATCGGGGGGTAAATGTCGTACTCACCGGTGGAGGAGCACGGGGAGCCAGCAGGAGGAGAAGTGGACGTCTTGAAGTCTACTGGTCGACTGAACACCGACGTATGCCTTCAGAAGCTCGCAAGAGGCGCTCCAATCCAACGCTGATTTCCTCTCTAGGTCATGCAACAAGAATTCCGCGGCTATTGTCTTACCAGCCGTCAGGCGCTTAAGATTTGCGCAATTTTCGACACTAGAACGAAATTATTGAAGAGCAAGGTCCACCGCGCCCACGTTTCGGTAGGGCCGTAACGTCCAGGTATTGTTTGCTGCAGCACCAGGTCGAATTTAACAGTCGCTTTAAGAACTGCAGGTGCAAAAAGATCACTTCCTGGTGATTGTTTCGAAAAGTAGATGATTTGGCAAAAATTTTGGTAAGTAGGGTGTTAGTACCATTTTTTTGCCTGCAGTCTTACAAGAGGTTGTTTGAGTTGGCTGAGATGGAAACGTCGATAGAAATAAATCAGAGTGCTTTTTTCAGGTCGGTCGGTGAAACGAGATCTTCGGCTGGATATGGACCACAAGGTGGATGTGCTTGAGTAGTGAATAATAGTGATTTTGTGTTAGTGAGTGTTGTTGTAATTCGATTCCACTAGTGAAGTAATCTTTAATTAATTTATTTTAAACCAAATCACTTTTATCTAAGAAATCGTGTTTAAGACTTTGAGAAAAAATCAGAAACAGTAGAGCTATTTGAAAATATTTTGAAAATGTGTTTGAAGTAAAAGTCAATAAAGACTGAGTTTTTTTAAATTTGATTGGTTTTTTGTGACCTCGACGTTAATTAATATCCGTTAACATTTCTTGTTCACTTATTAAACTATTGTTTATATTATAAATAATAGACACTTTCAGCAGTTTCTAACAGATTTTTTTAAGTCGTATGTAAATCATTTATAAAGTTTTTTGACTTAAAAATTTACAGTTACCTCCGTAATGTGATATTAAAGTCTACTTAAAATATAAATCGGCTCAGTCTTCTTCGCGACAACACTTTCTCCACAAATTCTCAAAAAATGGTCGTTAAAGATTTCTCTCTTTTTTTTTCACAAAATTTTGCTTAATTTCTCCCCGAAAAAAACCTGTAACAAAATTAATGCCAATTTATTGTGGTTTAAAAATTTATATAAAGTGTATGAAAGCAATAACCGAACGATTTAAAAAAAGCCGGAGCTTCAGGGACTCGAATAGCTTACATTTACATAATAAGTGGAATAACGAACACGTAAAAATTTGAAGTATGCTATTTTAGAGTCATTTAAAATAACAACGGTATCTTTTTAGTGGAGAAAATTACACGTTCTGAACTCATAAAACTGCTGTTAAAAACGAAATTTTGGTGTCGTTATGGCGTAAAAAATACGTAGAGTTTTTATGAAAGTTTCACAAGTTTGGTTTTTTTGGAAAAGGCGAATCTTGATTGTAGTGTTTCCACATTTTCCGATTAATGAGCTCTGGTGTGTAGAACGTGAGGTTTGGGATGTTTGAAAAGGTCACAAAGCGCGGGAATGTAATAATAGGTTGTAAATACACGTTGTACTGAAGGTATGAGTGGAATTTATGGAGAATAAGATAATTTTTTAGGAATTTTAAATTATAGTTTCTTCGGTGCAAAGTGGTGTCATTGTTACTGAGTTATTCTGTTTGCTAAACTTAATCAGAGCGGTAAATTCATTAATTTTGTTTGAAAATATGAATGCGCCTCACAGTGCGATACAAAAACACCAAAATCTGACACTACAAAATGACCAATTGAGTGAGAATTCGTCTAACCTAGCAAAGAAAATTTTGACGTGTCCACTAAATTGGTTACAAATAAAAATAAATATCTAAAGTTATTTAGGACTAACTTCCCTCGCCTCTGAAGTACAATGCTATAAATCCGGTTGTTTTTTTTTTACGATAATAATTTAAAAATATATAGATATGTAATGCCAATCACAGTGTAAGCAGTAAAAGGGGCCCATGATCGAATCTGCAACCTTCACGTGATTACCATAACGCTTGCCTGATCTAAGTTAAACAATTGAGGCAAAATTATAAAACCATCAAGAGAGGAAAACGTTATTTTGGAAAATTTAAATAGCATTTACCACGCAAAATTTTGAGATGACGTCATCAAGGTATTGATGGCAATGGTCGAAAAAATGTTGGTTAGCGTCTTACCTACCATGTACACGATGTTCCTAATATACCGGGTGTCTGTACGTTAAATAAAATAATAAAAAAATTATGATGTAGATTACAAAGAAAAACGTAATTTTATAAAAGTAAAATTGGCAACACTGCACGCACGTAATGCGTGAGCACCTACGGCTTATTTTCTGATTTTTTAGTAACGATGGTGACTGAAGTCCACCTTTTATTTTTTTTTTTAAGATAATAATCGTAACAAAAAAATATTATTAATAAAACAAGCTGTTATTTTTCATTAATAAATAAACCAAAAAAAAACATTTAATAAGATATTTATAAACTACTTATAAACAAAAACAAAACCAACAAAAAAAATCCATTAAAGTATAACGAACTAAACACTAGAGAAGATGTTCAAAATTATTGTCTTGTGCATAAAAGTAAGCTCGTAATGTTTCCAAATTTTGATCATTTTTTCCAAAATGAGTCATCAGTACTTGCTAAGATAAGCTGATTTTCGCAAATGAGATCCCTATAACAAAATAGAGGGCGGGTGGGCGTTACTAGTACCTGCTTAAATAAAACGGATTTTGGCAAATAATATACCTTCCATGAAAAAAGAGGGTGGGTGGGCGGGGCTAGTACCTGCTTAAATAAGACTGATTTTGGCAAATGACATACCTTCCAAGAAAAGCGAGAGTGGGTGGGCGGGTCTAGTATCTGCTAAGATGAGAGTGATTTTGGCCAATGAGATCCCTTTAAAAATAGTAAAAAAAATCCTTCCTACATTTTGGTGGAGTTATAATGATTTTAAAATTAGTTCCTTTCCTACGTTTAACAACTAAATAACAAGTTCGTTATCGCAATAACTAGTAATAAAACTTTTAGGTGACATTTCTCTCGCGCATGACCATGTTTAATTACGATATCAGTTAGAATATATGAAGATATGGTTGTGTTGTTTTTGTAATAATTTGATAAAATTCCATGCGATATTTCATAACAATGTTTGCCTGAAGCGAAGGTACAAATCAGCAAAAATCGAGTAAGCAGTTAAAAATGTTTGATTATTAAAAATTGTTGAAATTTTCAACACCCTACATTTAAAATGTTTGCAGTTAGTTTTAGCTCTCTTTACCCGGTGTTTTATTGTCGAAAATTTAAAGGAATCGGGTGTTTTGTTTCTGGATGAACCTGAAAAAAATCTTTTGAACTTTAGTGTTCTATTTTTTACTATTTTGGAAACCTGTGGACATTTTTTTGTAAATTATTTAAAACAATTTTGAGAGACTTTGGTGTAGTAGCCCCGCCCACCCGCCTCTCTTTTCTTAGAGGGTATCTCATTTGCTGAAATCACTTTAATCTTAACAGGTACTAGCCCCGCCCACTCTCCCTCTCTTTTGTTGAAAGGTATGTCATTTGACAAAATCGGTCGTATTTAACCAGGCTCCACCCCCCCTCTATTTTCTTAGAGATATCTCATTTGCCAAAACCACTCTTATCGTAGCAAGTACTAATCCCGCCCACCCACCCCCTTTTCTCTTGGAAGATATGTTATTTGCCAAAATCAGTCGTATCTTAGCATCACCCTGTATATAAAATTTGACAACAGACGGTTCGGAGGTACACCCTAATACATACAACACTTCCTTAGCTTAGGTTACACTCGATAATTAAAAATGATAGATTAATGTTTTTCTTTTTCTTTCCAAACTGCAGTTAAAATATGTCGGATTTCGTCAGTTTCTCAGGTTTCACATCGTCTAAAATATGGAAACATCGATTTCCAGTTTCCGTTTAGTGAATTTTAAAATCATTGTGTAGGTAAATAGTAAAATCTACACAAAGTTGGAAACGTTCTTGTTTCTTCTGTGGTTTGACAATCCTTCTTTATTTTTAGCTTTACATAGCAGCTCTTTTTTTATCAAATCTAGAACAGTTGACTAAAATTATTTTCGGCCCGTTTTGCTCCATTGAGTCCTTCCCTTTGTTTGAGGAGACAAAATCAATCAAAGTTCATTTTCTTTTAACGCAGAAGTTTTAAATCTGAACGTGCTAATCGTGGAATTATTTCCAAGTGTATACATAAACACTCAAAGTTACGCAAACACTGAGACAACATGTTTCCCCATTGGTTATCTGCTTCAAATATGCGTCATATTGTCCGCACAAGTGCGGACGACGCCCCCTTGGATTTTGCATCCCGCGACGCAGAGACTGTAGGGGTGTTATTTATGCCACTGCTTTTCTCTTACAATGTCACTGCTATTATCTATATTTCTGATGTATAGAGGTTATCACAAATGAAATGCTGCAAAAAAATGTTATAATTTTCCAAAAAATGTTTAGTCCGTCTAGTCAAAAAAGTTTATGACGTAATCTCAAAAATTTATTGAGGAATCTCTATCATGAAATATTTTTGACTGTATTTATGTAACATGTTTTTATTTTTTTGCACTTTTTATACAGGATGTTTAAAAAAAATTATAAAGAAATCGAAAAAACAAGAGTATTTGAAATACTGTTTATAGATCTAGCTACATTATCAACAGACGCACGAAAAGGAAAACTAGGTACAAACGTCAGCGCTAGATACTCTAATACCTATCAAATAACGTAACATAAAATAGTCAATACTAAAATCAACATAGTAAACATTGTACTCACAACCGAAAAAGGTGCCAATAGTTATGTAGTGGGGCTTCTGGATCATCCTGATAGGAAATTAACATGAAAAATCGTTCCGCAGTGAGCACGAAAACTCATCTCTGAACGTTTGATGAACAGATCGAATTGATCAGTCACCTGCACAAAAAAAAACCAGAAAACTACAGCCCGAAAACTTTCTGATAGATCGGCAATGACTAACGTGAGTCCAAAAACTCACCCCTGAAGAAAAAAAAGGGGTCGTCACCTGCACAAAAATATCAGAAACTCACCACCTAACGTCTTCTGATGGAGAACTGTCCTGAAGTCAGCCAGAAACTCACCCCTTAAAAAGTTGTAAAATTCTGCACTTTTTACTATTTCCCATAAGAATGATCCAGAACCCCCACTACATAAAAACCAAGATTTTTTTTGTTAAATCAAAAATTAAAGATTTGAAATGTTAATAAAAAGAATATAAATAGCTATATTGTACTCACAACAAAAATTAAGTTTTCTATAAGTTGTGGGAACTGCAGTTAATAATATTCTAACAGAAGAATGAACAATGTTTCTGTATAGAAAATCCCAAGAACACGTAGTTTTGTTCACAGAGCTGGTGTTTTTATTCAATTAATTTTACATTCTACGTTACATAGTAATTACAAATACTATACACTTAAAAAAAGCTTATGTGGAGTAGCGGTAGATCAAAATAAAAAACAGGGACACCGTTGCGGACAACACAACAGTTGCGGCATACTTTGAACCATTACGTACTTTCGTTTAGAAAAGGGAAAGCTCGATTTCAGCGAGTCCTTGCGAACCAAAATAGAGTTTTTCTTGCTTTGAGCACCACAAAAAGTTAAAACATCTCTGTGCAAATGTTGTTAGTGAAGAAACAATTGGTATGCCCAAATTTGAGTGAAACTTTTGAAATTTTCCAACAGAATGAACCTGAAACATGAACA